GAGAAAAGACTAAGCGAGCTGGGCCTGCTTAGCCTAGAAAAGACTGAGAGGGGATCTGATCAATATGCACAAATACCTGAGGGGAGAATGTAGGGAGAATGGGGCCAAACTCTTCTCTGTGGTGGCCAGTGAGAGGACAACAGGTAATGGGTGTAAGTTGAAACATAGGAAGTTTAATCTCAATATGAGGAAGAACTTCTTTCCTGTAAGGGTGACCAAGCCCTGGAACAGGCTGCCCAGAGAGGTTGTGAAGTCTCCTTCCCTGGAGGAGACATCTTCCAAACCTGCCTAGATGCCACCCTGTGCCATGTACTCTAGGTGCCCCTGCTTGAGAAGGCGGGTTGGACCAGATGATCTCTAGAGGTCCCTTCCAACCTTAACCATTCTGTACCATTCTGTGATTCCGTGATTCTCTGATATTTGAATATAGAAATAAATACTCTTCAGGCTATTGAGTAGTCAAAAAAAAAAAAAAAGTCTGGCCCAGATTAATACTCTTAAGGAAGCCAATGACATCAGGATCACTGTGACAATATGATAGTATTGCAGATCCAAGTATATGTGGCTTTAAATAACACTACCATTGATTTTTCTGTGATGTCAGAGTATCCCTACCACCTATCTCTGTTCGCTAGTGTTGCAGTGTCTTGCATGCTATTGCATACCCTTCTTTTCTTGGCAGTGGGACACTTTTGTTTGCATTGTCTCTTCCTAGAGCAGGATATGAAGAAAAAAGTGTGGGTATTCCCTTCCTGGGCAAATAGCACACTGGCTGAATTTCATCCTAGATGCCATAGGTTCAACAGAGGAGAAGGGGACCAGTCCCATGTCACAGACAATCTTACGTGTAGCATATGTGAGCTGTAACTTAATAGCATTCAGAGGAATTAGTCAAATCCCTACTGTTTACATTTAGAGAAGAGATGCAAATCACAGGGATAGAATTTGGGCTGGATTAGGTTTGTCAGAGAGCAGCAAGAATAGGACTGCTTCCCAAGGGAAAGAAACTGGGAGCTGATTGTACCCCTCTGGTGCAATGCCAGAGCATACAAAGAGGAAAAGCTGAGCTAGTCTGGGGATGAAAGAGGCTCAGTAAACACCCAGATCACCAGACAAGGCTATAGTGTCAATGCATGTCCTAAAACAGATTAGGAGGTAAGCCAGCATGGCAAAGTCCTCATCATGGACATAGACGGGCACCACATAGCTGCAACGAAGCTCAAGCATTGACCGAGGGCAAGCATCTGAGCATAAATGCAGCTGCTGAGCCAAAGGGCAGAAGCCAAAGTGACTCTTCTCATAGCCTTTTCTCATACACCTCTATTTGACAACTTAGTTGAGCTCACAGCTGTACGTGCAAAATGATACATTGTGCTGCCCCTGAGCTGACTTTAAACATGGACAGCCTTTAGAGGTAGGAGGTGAGAGAGGAGGAGGCTGTGGTGAGAGAAGTTGCAGAGCCAGCTGACGCACTCAAATCCCTGAAGTGACTTTCATTTTTATGTTTTGAGCATCTTCTCAATATGAAATTCAGAAATGTGAAAATTGTGTGATATTCAGGGAGTGCTTTCACTACATATCAAAGTAAAATATAAGTTCCATAAAGGTTTTTTAAATCTTCAGTCTTACATTTTCTGTGCATATTGGCCATTGCCACCTGCTCTATCTAAGCAACAAAGAAAGCAGGAAAAACTTAATATTTAAAACAAAACAAAAAATACTCACCACTAACTCTAGAATATTTATTATGAATCTAACTGCATTACTAATGTTAGAATGATTCTACTAAGTAAATAAATAGCCAATATATATGGAGATGAATGAATTCTAGGAGATGAATGTCAGATTTGTCAGATCAGAATTTGTCAGATTAGAATAAGAAATGAGAATATTGTTTCTGAGCAACCAAAGAAAAATATGTGGGAGAAACATCAAATAAAACGTTTTCTATTGGTAATTTGCCCAAATTCCTGTCAGGAATTTTTAAATTCTATTTTATATCACTTGCCACTCATGTCAAAATAAATATTGTCAGAAAAATAGGTGTTCTAGCAACAGTTAAATACTCTGTCAAATATAAAGGAAAGAATTTTACTGAAGTTTGAAAATGAAAGAGATTTTTGAGAGAAGGTATATATTCATTACGTTTTTCAAAGAAAAAAAAATAGATAGTTAAAGCAGTTGGTGCACAGAAAGTAAAATCCCTCTGATACTTCCTGTTAGTGGCAAAAAAAAATTGGTTCTGTGCTGACTTAATTATCACTAACTTTATTTTCCTAATACAGCATTTCCATACAGAATTTCCATTTTAGCAATTACTGTTTTATGCTAATTGCTTTAGTATGTATTATTATTTTATTAAGCTAATAAATTCCATTTGACTTTCAGGAAAGTAACATTATTTGAGAAAAAAATAGTAGAAACGAAAATGCAAACTTTGAATTCCTAGAGTCATCCTCTCAAGTTTGTATTTAAATAGCTAGGTGGGTGACAGAAATTCAGATTGTATACATAGAAGACTGAATGGCAAGCTAGTAAACTACTTTTAAATACCCAAAATGAAAAATGGTGACTGTTTTAGCAAATACATACCAGCAGCACCCTCCTCCTTTTGTGCTCCTTACACCTGAGTTTCCTTCTGGCAGTACTTGACTAATTTTCACTCTAGTTCTCAGATTGATTTTGCGTCACTGGGATGAAACATGTCAGCTCTCTGCAGTGTTGTGCTGAAGGTAATCCAGAAGTACAACTGAGAAAGGGCTTAGTGGATTTTTTTATCTGGGGGGAATAGGGTGTCCAAAGATACTAAATAACTAAGAATTCTTAGGATAGTGCCAGTATGAGAAGTTCAAGTAATGATTTGAAGCCATATAATTGCTGAAATGGTACTGATCGGTCTTTTGAGAACCAACAGCTCTATCAGATTCAAAGTGTTACAAAAAACAGAAATCTTCATTTAAATGTTAGATACATTTCTATCTTAATTAGGTATGTCAGTGGTATTTCATGCCGTGAAAGAGCAAGCTGAACAGAATTTGGTTTCCACAGATCCTTATTAACTGAATTTCCTGATCAAGTGCATCCTGATTAAATAAAAATATATTGATTATTTGCATACTTAGACAGCATAAGTCAGTTGGCTTGATATGACTTTTGGTTCATAAAAAAAAGTACCTTTAATTTGAACGTTTGTTATTCAACATATAGACTGACTTTTTTGTTTATTTGTTTGTTTCTGTTCACAAAAGTTAGTTCTTATAAGATTCAAAAATACAGTGTTTTTGCCCATGTCCTATCATAAGCAGGTGGTAGAAGGGAGGTATAAATATTTTTCTCATAATTATTTTTCCCATTTCTCCACAAGTAGAAAGAAGGCATGGAATAATATGGGGATTAGAGGCATTAGCTTCGTGGTATTATCATAAGAAATATTTTTAAATTATTATTTTTTTAAGAAAATATATATATATATATATATATATCCCATCCATCCCATTATTATTTTCCTTTTCAACAAGGATATCCAAGAAGATGGTGAGTGCCAAACATGAAGCGTACTGGCATTTAAAATGTGCCAGTTGTTTTCAATTCCCAAGAGACCTGGTTAAAACTAGAAATTTTGATACCTTGAAGCTGATGCTTTAGAAGTGTCAACTGGATTTTGCCCCTTTTGTCTAGAAAATCCACTGAACTTAATTGACTCAAATGATCCACAAGTTTTAGTGCTAATGATAATCCCAAGGAGGAGATCTCATAGCCTAACAATTTCAGGCATCAGTCTTCAAAAGGACAAAATAAATGACCAAAAAAACAACAACAATAAAAAAGTCAGAATCTCTTATTTCTTCTGCTAAAGTATATAGAGTTTCTCTGAACTTATATGAAAACTGAATGTAATAAAACACACAAACTTCCACTGTAATGCATAATCCTATATTTGGATCCATTTAAAGAGATTACTTTGCAGTTCAATAACAGAATCAAGCTTTCTGCAAAAAAAGTTTTGGCAACTATCCTGTGGATTACAAGTACCCAAATTAAAGACCAGTAGAAAATAAAATTGTCCTTCATCATAGAAACTCCATAACCATTATTAACACAAATCCTATAACTCATATACTTAACTTTTCTCATTGTCATGTATCTCTTGTGCACACTTAAAGGTGATATTGTAGTTTGCAGTATGCAAGACATGAAAAGCATTAAACATATTTGGAATTACTGCATTTTTTCTTCCATTTCTGCTATAATTTTAATGTATACAAACAAAAAATAATATATATCTGGAGGAGGAAAAAAATAATAATTTTCAAGCCTAAAAATGTAGACTCTGAATTGGACATTTCTACTCAGGAATGAAATTTTGGGGCTATACAAGATTAATTCATGGAAAAATCAGCTTGAAGTAGTCAGCAAGGCAAATCAAATGCTGTGAGCTAATAGGAAAGAAAGCTGGGACTACTTGATTGTCTTGTTGTTACTGTTGCTATTTTTACTAGTTTTCTTTATTACTACTAGTTCTTCTTACTACTACTAGCTTGCTAATTTCATCCTTAAAAAAATAAGATAAAGGACCAATCTTATTTCTCTTAAAAGTTGGAAAAGAGAACTGTCGACAACATTCCATAGATGCCATATAGCGTCCTCATTTGATGTCCAGAATGCTCAGAAAAAGAGATGCCTTCTGAATCTTTACAGTATTATTCTGAAAATCATTAAAAATAAGTCAGACTGTAGTATACAACAGAACATTTATTTCATTCAATAATTTCAATAAGAAACTTACTGTAGTCTCAAGAAATGGTGAAATAATTAATCTAAATGTTGCCTCATCGATATCAGCCAAATATTTATTTGCCTTCAATAAAGGAAAGATCACACACACACACACACACACACAAAAGTTTTCTACAATGAAGTGATAGGACATCATTTTTGTGTTCTATCAGCTTATGATATTGCTTTTCATCATTTTTGATCAATGGGCATGTCATTCACAGATACTGGCTGACCTAGAAAACCATGCACTTTTTAAGGATGACCTAGAATGCCAGAAACTTATTTTGGAAGCCATGAAATACCATCTCTTGCCTGAAAGAAGAACCCTGATGCAAAGCCCAAGAACAAAACCTAGAAAATCTACAGTTGGGACACTTTATGCTGTTGGAGGAATGGATAACAACAAAGGTATTGGAGCATATTTGTTACTTATGGTTATGTTTTACATTATTTTCTTTAAAATATTTTTTTATTCCAAGGTTGTAGGGATCTAAGGCAATCAAGAAATGCTTCCAAGGCTTTTGGTCCAAATAAAATCTACTCATGTTTAAAGAGTAATTACATTAAACATTTTTAGAAAGGTGCTCAGCTCTAGTGGAATAGATTATGGATGCAGAGAAAGGATAAGTTAACTGCTCCCATGAAGGACAAAAGTAAACAGGCTGTTGTTACATATATACTTATTATGTTCTTCCTTGAAGATCAGAACTTAGAAGTGAGAAGCTGGGCATCTCTTCTGCAAACTTGCTCTTTTTATTGGTAATTTCATGCATCTTTATTAATTCTTTATTAATCTTTATTAAGGTGTTTCTTATGCCTTGAATATTAGTTTGGTTTCACCTGTACATTTTCTTAAGGACCTTAAGAGGATAAGGCGACAAATTGAAATATGCCTATGACAGTCCAAGCAGATGTCTGCCTAAACCAGTCTTAAAAAAAAATTGCAGTGGTACCTCCAGGGAAGCTAGTCCAAAGCTTAACTTTTCTTATTGGCAGAAAATTATTTTAAAAGTTTGTTTTAAAATAGTTGACCTGACTCCTCCTTGCTGTGGCGGAAATATATTTTAATCCATTTTTCTATTAGGCTTTTATCCACTTTCTCTTTAGTCATCTTTATACCAGGATAAATCACATTCATTAAATCTTCTCTTGCATTTCATACATACTAATTATTTTTGCTTCTTCCAGTTAAGTCATGTCTTCCTTACCCAATGCACCAAACAAGATGCAGAGCTCCATGTGAGGGTTCTGCGGTGCTGATCTAATCTAAATGATTAATATGAACCCTGTTTCCATCCTGCAGTAGGGTATTTCATCCCATCACACTTTTCATCAAAAAATCATACTGTCATATCCTGTTTCACTTGTGATCACATTCTTTGTTGCAGAACAGTTGGCCATTTGTTTTAGATCCTGTATTTTTATAGGTGGTTGTTTCTGTCAAATTATAGCTCTTTGTACTTGACTGTATTTAGTAGCTCATGCTAGCAGTAATTGTTCCCAACATTACTAAAATAGACAGGAAAATCTAACTGAAGTAAAGTTAATGATATCTACTACTTTTGTCCATTCATATTTTTCCTAGAACAACATGTATGTAGATGTATGTGTGTGTGTATGCTTTCACTCTGTTTTCCTTATGCTTATAAATAATTTGGATAAATATTCCTATGCCTCCCAAGAAACTGAAATTAATTCTGCAATTCTTTTTTCCGCTTTTTAAAGATAAAATAATATGTTTTCTCTTTACCATCTGGAATCTCATGAGCTCTCAAAAATAACAGTAGACAACTCAGACTTCCTCAATCTGCTCTTTTAACACCAAAGAAAAAGGCTTTCTAGCACCAGGCAATTAGAAAGCATGGAATTTATTGAAGTAATCTGCAACCTGTTATTTTCCCATTTTAAACTGAGTTGGTTGCCTGATTACAGGTGAACTACTTTTGGTGTTATTTCTTCAGTAGTGACTACTTTTATAGAGGTGTGTTTACAGATCTTGTATTAGTTGCTTCACCAAAGCTGAGATTCTTTAGCCTTTTTAAGGCCCAATAAATTTATATTTGATTGTGGTTTCAATTAAGCTGAATAGAAATAGTTCCAATAAAAAATATCTGCTAGACAATCTACTAGAGCATATAATTCTGGAAATTTTTCCTTCTAGTTTCCAGCATGGTAAGAAGTAGATAAAATAATATTTAAATTCAGTGAGGCTGGATATTGATTAGTAATATTAATTTGCAATACCTAATATAAAAGTATTTTTTACTGACCTAATATTTGAGAAACTGGTTCTCTTTTTATTAAAAAAAAAAAAAAAAAAGGAAGCTTTCATCACAGCCTCTTTGAAGAGCTAGAGAGAATTGGGTTTTCTTGATTGTTAAAAGCTCTATGGAAATTTATAGCCTCAAGCAGAGAATGCTGGAGAAGACCACTCCTCTATATGGATTCCCTGCAATATATAAATTGCAAAACTACCTAAAATTCTAGTTCGAAAAAGGGCTTTGAAGGTTAATCTACAGACTGCTTTACTGTTGTCTTTCACTGCATTACTACCTTAAAAAAAGTCTTTTGGCCATAAATATGAATCCTATGGCATCCACTTTAGCCTCTTGAAAAGCATAGAATGAAACAGTAAGAATCTTTTCTTTCTTAGCTTTCATTAACACGGAGGTGGACATGAGAGCACTAAATCTGAGGTTAATCTTCCCTTGACAAATGTTAAATTTCCCAACACAGAAAGTAAATCTGAAATATTAATTAATATGCTAAAACATCAGGGTTGTTTTTGCTGTTTTTGGAGTGTTTTTTTTTTTTTTTCCAGAGACATTTGTTTTTCTTTCTTGAGAATATATTTACCACAATCAGCTTTTATTTTATTTTATTTTATTTTATTTTATTTTATTTTATTTTATTTTATTTTATTTTATTTTAATGTTTTTTTCTCATGGAGAAATAGAATATGGAATAATGCATCTGAGTTTTTTTTAGCATCTTTATTCATCCTCAAGCATTCAAAACTTGCTCATGGACAATTAAATTTCATTGAAATTAACACTGAAAAAATAAGTAAAATCAACTGTTAGCACTTGGTGAGACAAACAAGTTGTCGCTTAGCATAAATTGCAACATATGCTTATTGCATAATATAGGAACCATTTATCTCATCATAGCTCTAACTTCACTGATGAAGTATAACTAATGCAGAATAAGGTGTAATCAAGAAGAAATCACATTTTGTTTTTTGGTGCTTTCATGCAAATTCAACAGGACTTTTGTGTGGAGCACTTAAAGAATAAGATTGCTCTTTAAGTGGAAACAATAGAGCAAACCGATGGAGGATTTTTTTTTTTTTTGACTTGATTTTCTGTTCTGTTCATTATTATCATGGTCTTTTTTCTCTCATTTTCACACAGACACACAATGAATGAAGTGTATTCACATGACCCTTCTCTTCATTTTCCACTGAGGATGTTTTCTTTACTTGAACGCTAATACTTTTGATTAAAAAAAATGCTACTGAATACGGTGTTTTCCCAGTCATTCTCCAGCTAACAGTGGGAAAAAAAATACATCATAATTTACCCTTATTGTAAAATCCATTAATAAAAAAATAGCACTAGTTTGCTTGAGGCTAATAGTGTAATCATCTCTGCTTTCCCTAGCACAGTAGTGACATTATCATGGTGGTGGGTTTTCTTGTGGAAGCCAGAATGTGAAATTCAAAAGCAGTCTATGCAAGATGCTGTGTGAATTTCTGGTGTCTGTATTTCAAATGTGCATCAAAACTCCCTTTTTTGTTTTAATGGATGGAAATTAGCTGTTTGTAAATATATCCAATGTTTTTTAACACAGCGAGCACGGCAACAAATATTAGGAGCTTTAATTTAGCTATTGTAGAAATTTGTATTTTCAGACATTTTGAATGTTCTGAGAGTTATTATAGGAAGTATGCTTAATGAACAGGTATATGCAAGAGGAGTATGATGTTTAGTTAGTCATCCAATTACTTGACTCTTTCAGTTCCTAAAACATATATACATGTTTTACTAGCTGGCAACAAGACATTCTGGGAAGATGAATCATAATTAAGCAATGTGATGGCATAATTGTATAGTGAGGCGGAGCTTGTTTAATTACTTCACCAGAGGAATAGGATATACACTGGCTAATGACTGATGAGTTAATTAAACATATAAATCACTCTAAAATTCCCTTTTCAACCAGTTCCTGTAAGTATTAACATCATTATTTGCTTCTTTTTCCTCCTGTGAATTTTAATGTCTTCTAGAACAGTCAGCCTCATACAGCATTCAGCAGTTAAAGTACTTTGATTTAAATGTGGATTTCCGATAGGGGGAAAAAAAGAGTCCAGATTGTAACGCCATCTGGTAGCTTTTCAGTACTTATTTTACATCACTTAATTTCTAGCTTTTTTTTTTTTTTTCCCACTTCTGAAATTGCTAATTCACTTACAGTTTGAAATAGAGATAATGACCTGATCTGTTCTGAAGTCTGCCCAGCTTCCAGTATAAATGAAGCGCAAGAGTTATTATATATAAGATAAATGTCATCATCCCATGAGCTCCCATTGACAGGCTACTGCCCTGGCTGTTAACAACTCTCTGCTATGGATGGTGTGCAACAGACACAAAAAGAGACTGCTAATCACTGGGAATATTTGTGAGAGTCTTCTCCCAAGAAGACCCTAGAAAACACACATGTTTGATCATGTAGTTAAGTACGCATAAAAAAATAGAATCATAGAATCAAAGACTGCCTAAGGTTGGAAGGGACCTCTAGAGGTCATCTAGTCCAACCCCCCTGCACACACAGGGTCACCTAGAGCACATGGCACAGGACTGCATCCAAGCAGGTTTTGAAGATCTCCAGAGAAGGAGACTCCACAACCTCTCTGGGCAGCCTGTTCCAGTGCTCTGTCACCCTCACTGTTAAAATTTTTTTCCTTAAGTTCCTGTGGAACTTTTGGTGCTTCAGTTTCTGGCCATTACCTGTCAGTGGTTACCACTGAAAAGAGGCCAGCACCATCCTCCTCACTGCCTCCCTTGAGGTACTTATATACACTGATGAGATCCCTTCTCAGCCTTCTCTTCTCCAGGCTGAACAGGCCCAGCTCCCTCAGCCTCTCCTCATAGGGCAGACGTTCCAGGCCCCTGATCATCCTTGTAGCCCTGCGCTGGACTCTCTCCAGCAGCTCCACATCCCTCTTGTACTGTGGAGTCCAGAACTGGACACAATACTCCAGATGTGGCCTCACCAGGGCTGAGTAGAGGGGCAGGATCACCTCCCTCAACCTGCTGAAGACGCTCTTCTTAATGTACCCCAGGATCCCATTGACCTTCTTGGCCACAAGAGCACACTGCTGCCTCATGGTCAACTTGTCATCCACC